ATCTATGTCTGGAGAAAATGGAAAATACTTTCTAAACATATATATCATCCTGATCTGGGCTCTGTTCGTCTCTGTACTGTTTAAATTTTAGTATGTGTGGTGCTGAAGCAAGCAGTAGGTAATGAGCTTTGGCCTGCATTTTTATGGTTGTCCTGAGGTCCCAAGATGAGATTTCATTCTAAACTACCCTAGTTACATAGCTATGCAATCCTTGGTCAGATTTTTCTAAGAAGCTGACCTTCTGTAGTTTTCCATGGAATCCAGATAAGATTTCCAAGGGTCAAAATAATAATGTTGTAGAATAACACTTCCTGAAAAATTCTAAGTGTTCTTTTAGACCTTACCTAATTCATACTTTTCATGTGTCTGCAAGACAGGCAGCAGCTACATTATTATCAGAATGAGAAAGTAGATAATTTGTGTCTTGCAAAAGGTCACTAGATGAATAAATTGTGGGGCCATAAATAGAGTCAAGCTTTAATATTTTCGATTTTGAACCTAGGTCTCCCTCCAGACCCACCCTCCTGGGTCCAAAGTGAATCTTCTACTATGTAAGGGAACCAATGGCTTTATCATGCTTCTGAACTTCTATGTCTCCTTTATTCTGTACTTCAAAATAAACACAAGGGCATTCCACATAGTTTCCTATTTTATCAAACTCCACTTTCTTGTCCAATTAAGACTAGAATGAAGGACTCAACGGTCATCATCTTCCCATTCATCTAACTTTATTTTTAGGTGACTAATCTTTGGTCCGCTTCATCTTCTGTACTCCTCAATCTTCATATTTCATCATTTTTTCCTTTTCATATTTTAACACTCCCATCTTCCCCTCTCCTTTCTTCTCTCTTTTCTACCCCTCCTCCAATACTCAAAACTATCATCGATCCTTTTTATTATTCACTCTCTCCACTATCCTGTTCTCCTCATTCATTCTCTATTTTTTCTCCTCAGTCTCTATGTGTTGATTTCCTTTCCTGCCCATCACTTTCTCTTCATTTTCTTATAGCTTTTTACCCATCCACATCTCATCATCCTCATCCATCCCACCCACTACCTCATTCCACAATCCCCTGTTTATGTATACTCTGCTTCATTCTTTCAACAATTGTGTACACTCCCATCTCCTCTTCAAACTCTTTTATGCCCTTTGTTACAAGTATGTCTCCATTATATTTCTCCACTACGTTTTATTCTCTTCAAATTCTCCTTCATACATTATCTATTCTATCTATCTACCTCTACTTTGTCCTATCCTCCCCATCTTCTTTTCTGTTTTTATCTAACCTCATATCCTTTCATTCAGTGTGAGAAGAGGCATCCTTCTTCCTTTATAAGTAAAACTTTCAAGGTAGTTTTGATACCATCCTGCTTACAGTTTTCTCTGGCAACTTGATGTCAGCAAAACCTCATTTCTACTATATCTTCAATCTTTGTCTCTCTGCTATCTCATAAATAAGTGCCAGTATCTACATTCAAAAAAGCAACTATTTATTTTACCCCTGAATGTACCTATAATATACTCATTGCTTTCATTTTCAAACAAGCTCCCAGAAAGTATTTTCTGTGTTTACTATTTTCACTACTTCTATGCCAACTCCTAAAAACTCACCACTGCACTAAATACTACATTGAAACAGTGTATGTGAAGAACACCAATGTCTTCCATGTTGCCAAACCTAATACATTTAATTCTCTATATTACTGATCTCTTTGTAAAAACCAACAATGTTGTAAAAATGTATAAATAATGATAAAGAGCATGAACTTGCAGCCAAACAGCCAGAGTATGAATGCTAACTCAACCATTTACTACCTAGGTGATCTTAAAATCTTTTCTTACCCACCCTTGTCTCAGTTTCCTCATCTGAAAAGTGGGAATAATAGTACCTATCTCACAGAGTTGTTAGTTTACAAAAGTTAAGTGATTAAGAATAGTGCATGGCACATTGTAAATACTATATTGATGTTAACAATTATATTTATGCTATTACTGATATTATTATTATTATTATTACTGATCACTGTGAGCTTTTTTGAAACCCTTTACTCCTTTGATATATCAGTCAAAATGGGTCAGATTAGCATGCAGTAACAAAAAATCCTAAAATCTCAGTGTCCTCAACAAAGATTTACTTCTCACTCACACCACTTGTCTAGCTCAGGTTGTAGGGAGGGGCACTGTCTTCTATGTCATCTTCAACAAGGGATACAGAATAATAGAGCCAAAGACACCAGGCATAATGCTACTCACTGTAGCCAGGGGAGAGGAACAAGGAAAATTATATATTATCCTCCCTCAGAAATGATACATGTTATTTCCAGTCACATTTGGTTAGCCAAAGTCATCTATCCAGGCCTAACTTCAAGGTTCTATGGATGTACAATACTACCACATACCCAGAAGGACATAAATTAGAAATACTGAAAGTAAAAGTATTGACTATCACACTTAGCTTTCAAGATACTGCACACTAGGGGTTCTACCAACACCTTCCTTACTTTTTCTTCTTGGTCTCCTTCATAGGTTCCTCTTTCTCCCCTTCTGCCTTAATGATAATGATGCTACATGATTGGATCCTTGGCATAATTTTCTTCTCACGCTACATACTTTCCTGAAGTGACCACATACATTCACATGGTTGTCCCAATTTACTAACAATACCAAACTTTATATCTCTAGCTTATATCTGTCTCCTGATCTTTAGATTTGTATATCCAACAGTTATTACACACCTATCCCTAGAAAATCTATAATCTTTTAAGGCTTATCTTGCCCAAAATTAACCTTGCAAATTTATCCTATCTAAATTTCTTCTAACTTTTATATGATCTGCCCTGGTTTGTAGCACCATCACTCACCCATGCGATTTGAGTACTTACTACCTTGACTCCTGTCCCTCCTGTTATTCTAACATTGGCTGTTTTTACTATTTCTTCAGTGTCTCTCCCCTTCTCCATCTTAATCCACTGTTCTGAATTATAACTTTACCACTCCTTGCCCAGACTAAGCTGTCTACTAACCAGTTTCCATAATTCCAGTTTTGTTCTTTTCAAATACATTCTTTACACAGTAACTAGAGTGCCATATATAAAATTAAAAACTGACCACCTCATTCTCTTGCTTCTGTTGAAGGAAACCATTCCATTTCTTGTAACTGCTTACTTGGTTTTCTCTGCCTAGAATATCCTTCCTGTCTTTCCTCCACTTTCCACCTACAATTATCTTGACTACATTCTACTTACTGAATAGTACAAAAATGAATGCTAATACTTATAATCAGGTGCTCCAACACACACACACACACACACATATGTACATATATATGTAAATATATAAGATCTGGGAAGAGATCAATGAAACATATATGTTAATTTTATTGACCTTATCTCCAGATTTTTCTTCCCTTCTCTCCACCTTCTTTTCCCCACTTCTATCTGCTTTGCTTCTTTTCTCCATCATTCTCTCCTCTATTCTCATTTCTCCTCTAGTTTCTTAGCTCCTCCTCTCTAATTCAAATTTTCTCTTAAGTATCCATTTGCTATCCATTCTTCTTTGCCTATCTTCTCATCTACCAAATTCTTTTAGGAAAAACATCAATAAATAGCAAATTTAAGGTAATGAAGGACTAGGATATAGGCAAGGACACTTTATGTATTCACCACATATTTCAGTTTCTTTGTACAAAATAACAAAAACTCAAATTTAAAACAGCCACAGAATCTGCACTGAAAGATCACATTTTTTCCATTCAATAATGTTAATTCAGTTACTTAAAACTGATACTCATTAATGTGTGAGGGAGCTTCAGGACAACTGACAGCACAGGAGCTAGCAAAAACATAAAACAAGAACCCAGAAAGTTTTAGTGTTGGGGCAAAGAATACTATGGAACTGGAAATGTTTTTAAAGTCATTCTTTTTGAAGGCAAAATTATACATAATATATATACATATATACATAATTATATATGTGTGTGTATATATGTATGTATACATGTATAGGAATGATATTTATTTATTTTAAAATTTATTTATTTACTTTAGAGTGAGAATATGAGAGGGGGAGGGGCAGAAGGAGAAGAAGAGACAGAATCTCAAGCAGACTCTGCCCTGAGTGTGGAACCCAATGCAGGGTTCAATCTCACAACCCTGAGAGCCTGACCTGAGCCAAAAACAAGAGTTGGATGCTTAACCAACTGAACCATCCAGGTGCCCCTGTATATAAATGATATTTAAAAGAAACATTCTGGGGCACTTGGGTGGCTCAATCAGTTAAGCAGCTGCCTTTGTCTCAGGTCATATTCTCAGGGTCCTGGGATTGAGCCCTGTGTCGATCTCCCCGCTCAGTGGGGAGTCTGCTTCTCTCTTTCTCTCTCCCTCTGCCCCTCCCCCTGCTTGTGCATTCTCTCTCTCTCAAAGTCTTTAAAAAATGAAAGAAACATTCTTAGGTTATTTAGAAACCTCACTTACATCAAAATCCTCAGCATTCCCAGGCAATGTGGCATAAAATATGTGTTGCTGTAATTTTGTATATATTATATATAACATTTTATGCTTCAGAAAATATCCATCATTATCTCATTTGATTCTCACAATTCTGCATCATAGGGGAAGTTTGTTGCTGCAGTTAAACAGCTTATTCTGACTGTCACAGTGCTCTGCTTGTGTATATAGCTGTGAGCCTTTGAATTTAAGAGCCTTTGAATATGTATATGCTTATGTGTTAGTCCACATGTGTCTCTGAGTATGCATACATTTATACATCATGAACATATATCTGTGTGTCTGAGAATGTTCACATGTTTGACTATTTATTTGTACATCTATAATATATATGTCTGTGGATGTGTGTACTTGCAAATATGTTAAGAAGTATATACCTATATGTGCATTTCTAATCTGTAAACTTAACAGAACTTTCAATAGATAGCCTAAAAACATGCTGTTTTCAAGCCCTACCCTGAGTATACTTTAGATGGGAGGTACCACACTCTGACCTCATTGTGTAGAGGAGGGTTCCATTGTCCACCAGTCTGAGCAGCTTGTTAGGTGTGGTCATGTTATGGGCTACTGATTTCTTGCCATTGTGAAAGAAGGTGTCAGGGGTCCAGATCTTACTAGCCAGGAGATTGTTCAGTGGAAGGATCTTCATGGGTCCATCAAATTTCAGTCTTTCATCATGCCATGTCTGTCGAAAAAATACATCAATGGTGTACTCCTAGGGACAAAAAAGAGGGAACAATGTTTGAACATAGTTCTGGTATGAACCCATAGTGCCCTTAGCAAATATTAATCATTTTGCAATATTTCCTCCAATGCACAGAAGCAGCAGTATATTAATAGTACTGGTGAGTATGGCAAATGATTATGATTGAAAAATAAAGCCACGGTGATCAATAAGTATGAAGATAATATATCTGACAAGATTTTGTTTGGGATTGCCAACACTGCCAACGCTGCCCAGCACATCATACAAGCTGACCACAAGACTGCCTTTTGAAAAGGCAAGAGCTCCCTTCTCTGTGTAGTGGCATCTCTAACAAGAACAAACTCCTTACCTTGTCTCCTCTACTAAATGATCCCACATGAACATCAAAGGCCAATATAACAGTCACCATAAAATCAAAACCTTAAATTTTAAAACACATTTCATTTGAGTCTCACAAAAATAATACATCTGATGAGTTTATATTTTATTATTGTCAATAAATAAGAAACTCTTACCTATAAATAAAAACAGACAAATAGAAAAATGGGTAAATAGCATAACAGAAAATTCATAAAATAGATAAAAATTGCTAATAAGCATGCAAATTTTTTCAAAATTGCTGTTAATCTAAACATAAATTAAAATAACAATAAATGTTTCAGGTTTTGTAACAGCTGACTAAATTGTTCAGCTATACCTTCTTGTAGCTATTAATTATAAAATTAAAACATATATAGAGAGAGGGAGAAGAACCTATTTGAAAGCAATGTGGTACAACTGTAAGCAGACAAAAACTTCAAGAAAGTCTACCCTTGAGAGATGGCAGGAGCAATGGGTGCTGCCCCAAACCTAGAATTCCTGTAGCAGATACCACAGCTTTACTGGCTCAAGGTGGAAAATAGTCTGGAAATTTAGGGGTGGTACTCCTGGAAACAAGACAGTCACAGAAGGGATGAGCCCCCAAATCTGCAGATATACTCTGCCCCAAATTTTAGCTGACCATTACACTATACACACATGAGCAAGACTTTTGGACTCTTAAAAAAAAAATGCGGGCAGAAACCATAGGGAAGTCTTCCACCAAATGACAGATGATAAAACTGTGCTGAGTGATGTTTGTAAGCTTGGCAGAAATCAGAAAATGCATTGGCTTAATATCTCAGAGGATAGACCGCAAGGCTGTTCAAAGAGCTGAAAATTCAGGAGAAAGCCCTAGAAGCAAGAGAATCACTGAGAGGGTGAGTCCCCAAATCTGAATGCAAACTTTACCCAAATCTCTTACCACTAAACTACACAAGGCATGGGGGACACTTTTAAGTATCCAGGTAAAATAAAGAAGCAGACTAAAAACCCTTTGGCTTAAAAATCCCTTAATGACTTTTAATCATATGTAAACTAAGTTTCAATATCCTTCTCTTACCTAGAAAGTACTTCATAAATTGACCCTTATCTTCTTCTCTGAGCTCTTCTTCAACCACTCTTCCCTCTACAAATTAGCCAGTCTGGCTTTTCTCTTTCTCTAGCATACCAAGTACAGTTCTGATTAAAGATTAGAATATTATATAAATATCATCTAAACTGGGACATATTTGAGAGTCAGAAGAGTTTTTTTTTAATTTTATTTATTTATTTGAGAGAGAGAATGAGAGATAGAGAGCACAAGAGGGAAGAGGGTCGGAGGGAGTAGCAGACTCCCCACTGAGCAGGGAGTCCGATGTGGGACTCCATCCCGGGACTCCAGGATCATGACCTGAGCCGAAGGCAGTCGCTTAACCAACTGAGCCATCCAGGCACCCGAGAGTCAGAAGAGTTTTTAAACAAAAATTACAAGAGGACAACTGGTATAAACCAGAACTGTGCTGAGTAAAAAGATGGAACTAGACTCCCACATAAAGCCAAGATCCTGAATGGCTCCAACTTCAGCAAAAAGAGAATTGGATGAAATGAACTAGACAAAACCAGTCTACAACATGAAAATTCAAAAAAGGAAACCTGTCTAGCCAAGCATGGATTCTGAATGGAGAGGGGTTTAAGGGAAGCATTTCTACTGAGATTTAGCAACCTTAAATCTAATCTTATATGGGATTGATGTTTAAATACAGAGTATCTTCCTGGTTTTGAGTTTATAAGCTGAGAAATTAACATAGGAATTTGCCTCAATGTGGGGATACCTCTATATTGACTTGCAAAAGCAAACACAAAAACACTCTGGAAGGACATGACCACAAGTAAATGCTTGCTGAAAATAACCTCACAATCCACAACAGAACACCTAAGGAAATGGTCACAAGTGAGAGTCAGCTGATACAACATATAACTGAATTAGACCACTCCAAGAAATTCACATGACAGAAGAATCAATTAGATACTGTAAAGGAACTATAATTAAAATGATAAAGGCATCAAAGGAGGTATTAAGAACATTGAAAATAAAAATTCAATGGATATATTACAGACAAGATTACACATCAATGAAGAGAAATTAGTAAACTGGAAATGCATATGAAGAAAAACTGTTCAGTGCACATTTCAGACAGATAAATGATGAAAAAGAACACATATGAAAGAGAGGTATAGTACCAGGAGAATAAAAGGAAAAGGTTCAGCATAATCTAATAAAATTCTAAAGTTAGAGAATAGAGAAAATTGGGGAGAAACAATATTTAATGTACTAATAGATGACAGTTTCTTACAATTGTTGAAATACATGCATCCCTAGCTTTGAGAACCATAATGAGTTGCAATCTCAATATAATAAAATAGATCCAAGCCAACATAGTGGATTGGAAGAATACCAAAGAGGAGATCTTCAAAACAGCAAAACAGAAAAGGCATATTATCTACAAAGAAATAACAATTTCACTGATAGAGGACTTTGTGAAAACAGTAACAGAAGCTAAAAGAATTCTATAGCCAACTAGATTATCATTTAAGAGCAAAGTCAAGTATAGATAATTTTAGATTAACAAAATAAGACAGTTTCATGGCTGCGTCAGTCACAGCAGTCAGATCTTATTCAGAAGTATTCATATCAAAGAAACATTCCTTGAACATTCTATCATAAACAGTTAATTCCCCTTTCCCTTGTATTATTTTTCTTCATGTATTATTTTGTTAGATTGCACTGACAAAATGTATTTTTATTCGGTTACTATTTCTTTCATTCTACTAGCCTGGGGGCTTCCTGAGAGCAGAGACTTTTTTTATTTGCTGCTATATCTCTAGCACCTGGCATACAGTAGCTGCTCCATAAATATTCTCTAAATTTTATTTTAATGCCACTATAGTTAATACACTGTATTATATTAGTTTCAGGTATACAATATAGTGATTCAACAATTCCATACATCATCCAGTGCTTATCATGATAAGTGCACTCAATCCCCACAATCCCCATCACCTATTTCAACCATTCCTCTCCTACCACCCCTCAGGTAACCATCAGTTTCTTCTCTATAGTTAGGAGCCTGTTTCTTGGTTTGACTCTTTTTTTTCCCCTTTGCTCCTTTGTTTTGTTTCTTAAATTCCACATATGCGTGAGATTGTATGGTATTTGTCTTTCTCTGACTGACTTATTTTGCTTAGCATTATACTCTCTCTAGCTCCATCCATGTCATTGTAAAAGGCAAGAGCTCATTCTTTTCTTTGGGTGAATAATATTCCATTGTGTATATATAACACATCTTCCTTATCCATTCATCTATCAATGGACACTTAAGTTGCTTCCATAATTTGGCTACTGTAAATAATGCTGGCCATAAACATAGGGGTGCATGTATCATTTCAAATTAATATTTTTGCATTTGGGGGGTAAAAACCCGGTAGTGTGATTACTGGATTATAGACTGTTCATTTTTAAATTTTTGAGGAACTTCCATACTGTTTTTCATAGTGGCTTCACCAATTTGCATTCTGACCAACAGTGCAAGAGGGTTCCTTTTTCTCCACAACCTCGCCAACACTGGTTGTTTCTGATGTTTTTGATTATAGCCATTCTGAGAGGTGTGAAGTGATATATCATTGTAGTTTTGATTTGCATTTACCTGATGTTAAGTGATTAGGAACATCTTTTCATACGTCTGTTGGCCATCTGGATGTCTTCTTTGGAGAAATGTCTGTTCATTTCTGGTCCATGTGTTAACTGGATTATTTGTTTTTGGGGGTGTTGAGTTGTATCAGTTCTTTTTTTGTGCCCCCCCTTTTTTATTTTTTATCATGTTCAGTTAGCCAGCATATAGTACATTAGTTTTTGATGTAGTGTTCACAGATTCATTAGTTGTGTATAATACCCAGTGCTCATCACAACACATGCCCTCCTTAATACCCATCACTCAGTTGTATCAGTTCTTTATATATTTTGAATACTAATTTATTGGATATGTCATTTGTAAATACCTTCTCCCATTCAGTAGGTTGCCTTTTCTTTTTGTTTGTTGTTTCCTTTGCTGTGCAGAAACTTTGTTTTCTGATGCAGTCCTAATAGTTTGTTTTTGCTTTTGTTTCCCTTGCCTCAGGAGATATATCTAGAAAAATGTTGCTATGGCTGATATCAGAGACATTACTGCCTGAGCCCTCTTCTTGGATTTTTATGGTTTCATGTCTCACATTCAGGTCTTTAATCCATTTTGAATTTATTTTTGTGTGTGGTATAAGAAAGTGGTCCAGTTTCATTCTTTTGCATGTTGCTGTCCAGTTTTCCCAACACTGTTTGTTGAAGAGACTGTCTTTCTCCCATTGGATATTCTTGCCTCCTTTGTTAATTAGTTGACCATATAATTGTGGGTTTATTTCTGGGTTTTCTACTCTCTTCTATTGATCTATGTGTCTATTTATGTGCCATTACCATACTGCTTTGATTACTACAGCTTTGTAATGTAACTTGAAATCTGTAATTGTGATACCTCCTATTTTGCTTCTCTTTTTCAAAATTGTTTTGGAAATTTGTGTCTCTGTGGTTCCATATAAATGTTAGGATTGTTTTTTCTGGTTCTGTGAAAAATGTTGTTGCT